AGAATCGACGCTGCTGCTGGATGATGCGAAGAAGTCGAAATCAAAGAAAGCGCCAACGCCCGCCGTCACAGACACCGCCCCACCCGAGGTGACACAAGCACACGCGCACACGCGCACACGCACACATGCACATTACACTTACGCACACGAGATGATTGCTGTGTTGTACACCCACGCACCTTTCTTCCCCTAACCACCACCACCACCACCACCACCATCAGGGCCAGGTGTTTGAGGATGCGGGGACGTTTGTGGTGCTGTCGTTTGAGTTCACGCGTCCCCTGATCCGCCAGCGATCGCCATCAGCAATCGCCGCTCGCGTGTCGTCGCTCATTCCCCCGCGCGACGTCCGCCCCTCTCCGCTCGTCACCGCACAGCAGGTCACACACACGCGCGCCGCTTCCTGTCTGTCTGTCTGTGTCTGTCTGTGTCTGCGTCTGCGTCTGTGTCTGTGTGTGTGTGTGTGTGTGTGTGTGTGTGTCTGTCTGTCTGTCTGTCTGTCTGTCTGTCTATCTGTCTGTGCGCAATTGGTGTCACATGCACCATGGCTCATCCTTACATCACCACCATGACCACCATAATCACCACCGCCGCCACCACACCGTGCAGGCGCTGGACGGGTACAAGTCGCGTGTTGCGGCGATTGCAAACGACCTCGTCTCGCAGCTCAGGGCCGCACAGCAGGCCGACAGTACCCTCTCCCAGGCAGACGTACGTCTTCGCAGTCGTGGTGACGGTGGCACTGGAGGCGTTTGCGTCCATGTGTGTGCGTGTGTGTCTGTGTGTGCATGTGTCTGTGTGTCTCTGTATGTCTCTGTCTGTCTGTCGGTCCGTCTGTCCATCAGTCCGTCGGCCTCCTTTTGCGTGCGCCTGTGTGTCTGTGTGTCCACATGTGCCCGCCCCAACTCACCTCGCCACCATCACCACGGTGGCTGTGCTGCGCAGGTGAAACAGCGGGTGCTCTATGACCTCAACACGAACGGCAAATACGAGGCCTTCAAGGAGCAGCTCAAGCAGACTGTCATGACCCTCGTCAGAGAAAAGTTCGCAACTGTCAACGAGTAAGCTACACTCTCTTGTGCAATTGTGCGTGTGTGTGTCTGTCTGTGCCTGTGTGTGTGTGTGTGTGTGTGTGTGTGTGTGTGTCTGTCTGTCTGTCTGTCTGTCTGTGTGTCTGTGTATGTCTGTGTGTGTGTGTGTTTGTGTCTGTCTGTCATCTGGTTGTGTGTTAGTTCCTGTTGTTCATTGCTCCTGTTGACCAGTCTTCACTGACCTCTTCAACTCCAATCTCACCACCGCGCCTTATCTCCACCCCTCCACCTTTAGGCTGCACAGTGCGCAGGGGCGACAGGAGTTCCTAAGCAAGTTGTACGTGTATTTGACGACCCAAATGCACGCCACGCTCAATCGGGAGTTCTCGTTCAACCGCCCGTCGTCCGCGGGCGCCGTGGATGTCCCCATGGAACACGTCATGCAGTTTGCACGCGAGAGCGAGGTGCGCTGCCGTGATGACAAACTGTAGTGGCGATGATAACGTTGGCGTTGGTTGCATGGCTGCTCGACTTGTTTATCTGAGAAGCAAGTGTGTCTGCTGTCACGTGATTTCGTTCCTCATCATCACCATCACCATCACCATCACCGTCACCGTCATCATGGTAGGGTTTGCTGAATCTTGACAAGGCGCAGGCGCTGTGGGACGAGTGCACGCAGCGGTTTTCAAACGACGCACAGTGCTGGTTTGAGTACGCAGCTTTCTCAACACGCGTCGGCGACACATCAAAGGTGTCCTGTCTGTGTGTGTGTGTGTGTGTGTGTGTGTGTGTGTGTGTGTCTGTCTGTCTGTCTGTCTGTATATGTACACACTTCTTTATGTACACCTCCCTTCCCTCCTCTAACCCCCCCCCCCCCGTACCTACCTAACATCCATCTCCCCCCTCACGCACCGACCTAATCGCCACCAGGCTGAGGAGTGTCTCCGCCGGGCCGTGAGCATCGACCAGCGCCACGCGCAGTCGCTCGCTCTCCTCGGCCTCATCGCCGTACTCGACGGCCGCGCACACGAGGTGGGCATGATGATGGTGGTCACGGTGGTGGTCGTGATGGTCGTGGTCACAGTTGCTCGTGGTCGCGGCTTTTCCCCTTGTCATGACCATGAAACAACATGAGCACGTGCTTTTTATCATCCATCTATCCGCCCACAAACGTCCAATACCGCGTGTCCGTCATATGGCATCCCTGTTCCATGTGTGTGTGTGTGTGTGTGTGTGTGTGTGTGTGTGTGTGTGTGTGTGTGTGTGTGTGTGTGCTCGTGTTCAGACCGAACGGTTCATGCGCCGTGCAAGAACGACACAGCCGATAGGAATTCGCTCGTTAGTTCTAGTTTACCCATGGAGAGGAGTCCATCAAGGTCGGCCGACTGTTCCTTTGGAGCATTGCAAACTATATTGGTACTCCCATTATGGCCGCCGATCTATCCTCATTTGAGCTTAGGATTATACACTCCGTAAACCAGAAAGCCATGGATGGGTCGTACAGTGGTGAAGCGGCCGCGTACAGATTCAGCGGTTTGGAGCTTAATGGCCGCAATTGATGAGGGAAGTCAGAGTCCGCTTAGCACGTATATCCCTATCCACGGCCACGATGTGTGTGTGTGTGTGTGTGTGTGTGTGTGTGTGTGTGTGTGTGTGTGTGTGTGTGTGTGTGTTCAGGGTTTGGATCTGCTTGAGGCGGCCACGTCCATCGATGACTCATCAGAGCTCATGTGGACCCTCCGCTATCTCGCCGTCCAACACGTGAGATGATCACAAGACAGGGGCTGTCTCCCACATGTTTCCGATGTCTGTGCATGTCTCGTTGTGCACCCGCATATGCCTTCACCGTCCCTCCGCCAACCTCGCCACCATCATCTCTCCACCACCTGTCCAACTGCAACTACGACCACAGGCCAACCCGGACGATGTTGCTGCGGATCTGCATCTCGACACGGCCATGAAGAACTCCATGCCGCGTGCCGGGCACTACACGTCGTGTCTCCTCCTCGCTGCAGACTTCCTCGCCTCCATGGGGCTCCCCGTCCTCGCACAGAGGTGCCGTGCTGTGTGCTGCTGGCGATGACGTGCCGCGATGGTTTCGTAATTGTCGTCGTTGCCGTCGGTTTTGTTGTTCTTGACCAGTCCCCGTCGCGCCACATCAATTCACACACACACACACACACACACACACACACACACACACACACACACACACACACACACACACACACACACACACATACACACACACACACACACACACACACACACATGCACTTGTGCCGACGACAGTGCGGTTGCGGGCCACATTGCGATGGACGGGGTGTGCATTGGGACGCGTCTGATCGAGGCACGCCTCGACATCATGGACCCCATGTCAGACTCATCAAAGGTGTGGGGCACACGGACATGCTGCAATGCCATGCAGATAATGGGTGTGAACGGTTTTGAAGTCGCATCGATCCTGCCTCAGCAACAACACCACCACCACCACCACGATTAACACTGACGAGCTCTTCATGTGTACATGGTACTGCAATTCTTCAGGCGCAGCAGCTGCTTGACGCGTGTCTGTCGGACCAATTCGACGATGCGGACCTGTGGGCGTGGCTCGGGCACACGCAGTACCCGCACCATCCCGACACAGCGCGCTCCCACTACGAGCATGCGCTTGCACTCGAAGGCACGACGGGTGAGGAGGACATTGTGCGGCTGCGGCTCGGACGCATCTATCTTGCAGAGGACGACTTTGCACTCGCCAAGGACATGTACCTCAGGTGAACACCGTGGCCGGGGGGGGATATGCTTGCATGTGCGTGCGATTGTGTGTGTGTGTCTGTCTGTGTGTTTTTCTGTGTGTTTGTCTGTGGCTGTGTGTGTGTGTGTGTGTGTGTCTGTGTATGTGTGTGTGTGTCTGTGTGTGTGTGTGTGCGTGTCTGTCTGTGTGTTTTTCTGTGTGTTTGTCTGTGGCTGTGTGTGTGTGTCTGTGTGTCTGTGTATGTGTGTGTGTGTGTGTCTGTGTCTGTGTGTGTATCATTCCCCATCACCCACGCTTTTCCCCGCGTGCCCATCCACAGGACGTGCAACCAGCGCCCGTCGAGCCTGGCATGGCTGGGTCTTGGCGTCGCCTGCTATCGTCTCGGCCAACTGGAGGACGCCGAAGACGCGTTGGCAGAGGCCAACATGTACGACCCGCGCAACCCAACGGTGCGCAACCAGTGCTGATCGTGTTGATGTGGTGGTGTGGTGATGTAATTGCTCCTTCCATGTTGTTGAATCGTCCCAAGCGTGCAGCATTTCGTATTGTTAACGTTGTACAACCCCCACCACGGCTCATGGCGCTAATGCATGTGTGTATCTGCGTTGTGGTGTTCAGGTGTGGGCGTATCTGTGTCTGATCTGTCTTCGCACGGGACGCGGGCTGGAGGCAGAGCAGTGCTTCAAGTTCGCCACAAAACACAACCTCACAGACACAAGCCTCAAGCAGGAAATCGAGGTGTGTGTGTGTGTGTGTGTGTGTGTGTGTGTGTGTGTGTGTGTGTGTGTGTGTGTGTGTGTGTGTGTCTGCCTGTACCTGCCCTTGCGCTCAGACCCCGCTCCCCCCCCCCAACCATAACCTCACCCAACCTGCACCCCGTCATGTTTATCAGCTTGAGATGCAGGAACTCGGCGTGGAGCCAGCACTCGTGGCATGAACCCACACAACCATTATGCCTGTTGCGTCTGCCCAACTGTTGTTCTGTTGTTCTGTTGCTGTTGCTGTTGTACATACGATTGCACCACCACCACCACCACCACCACCATCACGCCCCCGCCGCTGTGTCAGCTGCCACCTGCTGCAAGCAATGGATAAATGGCCACAACCTCCTCATCCGTTCGCGCCCCCTGCAATTCGAATGGGCATTTATTGCTGACAATCCTTCGTGCGCATGACATATGTACAAGCGGCGCACAGACGTAGTAACAACCTGAAGACTGCACCTTCACCACGTTCACCATCATTACCACCACAATTATCATCAACATCATTACCACCAACCAACCGACCAGCCAACCACCACGCGTGCTGCTATGCGTTTGAGAACGCCTTCTTGCTTGGCGGCTGGCGAGCGAGTGCAGCCTTGATCCATTCCTTCTTCTCAATGTCGCCAAACCCCCTCTGCACGAGGTATGCCTTGACGCGCGGCGTGTACGACGGCAGCGCCTGCAGTGACTCCACCTCAAACGCCGCATCGTCGGACTTGGCCTGCTCCTGCGCCCGCTTGCTCTGGTGGTGGTGGTGGTGGTGGTGGTGGTGGTGGTGGTGGTGGGAAGAGAAGGGTGAGGTATGGTGTGTGCGTGCGTGTGCGCGCGCATGTCTGTGTGTCTGTGAACGTGTCCACATGTGTGTGTCAACGTGTTCACGTACCCGCTTCGACTGGCGGTCCTCTGGCCGTCCACGGCGGCGTCGTCTGCTCTCCCGATCCTGAACATCAGGTGGTGTCAGTGGTGAGACAACACGCAGTGCGTTTCTTCACTTACACACACGCACACACACACACACACACACACACACACACACACACACTTAGGCACACACGTAGGCACACACGTAGGCACACACGTATACACATGCGCAGGCACACACCACACAAGCAGAACAACAACGCTACGCTTCCCCCCCCCCAAGCCCTATCACTTGCACACCTCGTCTGTCTGCTTCTTGTGCAGCTCCCGCCTGGACATGGTGTACAGGGCAGGGCCCCACTCGTCAGCGTCGGCGACACGGAACACCTCCTCCGCATCGGCGACGGGCGGTGCGAGCTCGGGCACCTGTGACTGCAGCAGCGCCTGCTTTGCCTGCAGCACTTTCTCGCGAATGGCCACGGCGATGCTGTTGGTATACGTAGGGCCAAGACCCAGGTCGCGTGTCAGCGTCTCGGCAAAGTGCTCGGGGGAGTTGAGCGGGTTTGAGATGTCCCACTCAAACTGGTCCACAAGCTGCGTCGTGCCAACTTGCACCTGCACAGCCGATGATCGAACATGACGAACCAGCCAGCAAAGGCAGCGAGGGGAGGTGGGAGTTCCGTGTTGGGATAGCGTGAGAAAGAGCACGCAGGAGGACGTTGTGGAAGACAACCGGCTGACCGCTGCGCAGGTAAAAGGGCAAGGATGCATGGTGTGGACGGGGGCATTGCATTTACCTCCAGTTTAATGATGATGTTGTCGGTCTCTGGCGTGTACTCCTTGAGAGCATGGTGAGCGTCAATCTGCGACTGTATTGCCGCCGCCACCTGATGTGTAAACAGCGTGGGCACCTCCAGATCCTGGCACAGCTGCTGGGCAAACTTGTACACCTATGTGTGTGTGTATGTGTGTGTGTGTGTGCGAGGGACCGCTGTGGGCATCATCGTAACTGTCTGTGGAGCAGGCACAAACGCAACAAACGCCTTTCAAATCCCCACAGCAATCCCTCACACACACACACTCACGCACACACACACGCATGCACACAGAGCATAAACGCACGCTGATGGATTTGTCCTGGGTGTTCCACAGGAACTGATCTCTGAGCTTGTGGCCATTCAGGTCGAGGTTGAGGGTGATGGAGGCAAGGTGCTCGGGTTCCTCGTCGGAGGTGCTCGCAAGTCCACACGGAGACCTGCCAGTAAGGTAAGGCAAGCATCGCCTCAGCGTGTGAGCGCTGCAATGGATAATGGCGCCAAATTGCCAGTCGCATGCAAGCGATGCTGCACACGCGCCAACGCACATGACAAACCATCACAAACGCAAGTGAAGAAGGAAATTACACACACATACACACAAACACACGCACACACCACACACACACATGCAAACTTACGCGTAGTAGGGCGCAAAGAGGTTGCGTGGACGGGCAGGCTTGAGTGGTTGCGTTGGCTGCTTCGGGATGGGAGGTGCGTGCGAGCTGCGGGTGAGAAGCACTTTCTCGTCTTTGAAGGTGGATGGCTTCTTGGCCACGGCTGGCAGCGGCTGCAAGTGCAGGCGCCGGTCGTCCTTCTCGAGGATGCACTCCACCTCCTCTGCCAGGAGCAGGGTCACGATGGGCGCGTGCGAGATGTTCCAGCGCTTGAGAGTCCCCCGCTCCGCAGTAGTAGCCTGTCGTCGGTACAAGGACGGGTACAGCTCAAACAGCTGCTCTGGGGACTGGTGGAAATACCGCGCCACTTCCACGGCCACCATGTACCGCGGCCCACCCTCGCACAGCTGGAACGAGCGTGGAGCATCGTCATCCATGTTGCAAAGGCGTGCGTGAAAGGCGTCTCCAGTGCGGTGACGGCGCTCGCAGTGAGATGGAGATCAGGTGCGGGAGTGCCAAATGCGCTGTTGTTGTCCTTCATTGTCGTTGTTGTTGTTGCTTTTGCTTCCCGCCAAACCAGCAGCTGGGACGATTGGTGGGTATCTTTCGCGGTATTTCTTGTGCAAATTTTCCTGACACGTCTACACAGCAGCCAGAGACGAGAGCAACCAGCACCAACCAACCAACGACCACCAACCGCTGCAGCCATGGTATGTATGCATGGTCTGTGTGGTGTATGGATGTGTGTGGATGTCTGTGTGGTGTATGGATGTCTGTGTGGATGGATGTGTGGATGTGTGGTGTATGGATGTGTGTGTGGATGTGTGTGTCTATGTGTGTGTGTGTTTGTGTGTGTGTGTGTGTGTGCCTGTACCTGTATGAAGTGTTATATCATCGCCTCTCACACCAACCTCCACCGCTCCCCTCACGTTTGCGACTGCAGCCCGTCAAGCCCTCAAGCGCCACGGATGTCAACCGCGGTGGTAGCGGCCCGACCCGCCGCGTGAACGCCGCAGCAGCCAGCCGAGCGTTAGTCTGGACCGCCATGTGTTCTTATTGCTGGTGCTGGTGCTACTGATGCTATTGCAGCTTAACGTTGCCTTTGTAACACGCCCTCCCCTTGTCGATTCCGACTCACACACCCCCTCCCCTTTCTCTCACTCGCTCGCTTTTTTCTTCCATCGCAATCCATAGCCGCGGCAAGGCCCCGAAGACTGAGGCCGTGCGCGCTCCCAGGCAAAATGCCGATGCCGCACTCATCTACAAAGAGGGCGCCACAGGCGCACAAGTGTAAGTCACGAGAAAAGCGATGTGTCTGTGTGTGTGTGCATCTGTGTCTGTGCATCTGTTTCTGTGTCTGTGTGTGTGTGTGCGTGTGTGCGTGCATCTGTGTCTGTGTGTGCGTGGGTGCGTGTGTATGGGTGCATTCACGTGTGTGTCGTTCTGTTTCCATCTCCATCTGTACGCGTTCTCTGCACGATTTGCCTCCATTGCTATTTCTCCTTCTCCTTGTTTCCCTGTACATTCCTTCAACTAACAAATGCTCACACCTTCCCCTTCTGACCCATTCCCTTGGCGCTTCGTTGTGCTTGCGCAGTGATCCCTACACGGTGCTCATCTTCAGCGTTGCCTTCATCGCATCCGTCTTCCTCCTTCACATCTGGGCCAAGTTCTCCTCCTAAATCACTGGCCCATCCACACCCACACCCTCTTCCTTCTTCCTTCTTCCCTCTTCCTTTGGCTCCTCCATCGACACCAACACACGTCTCCGTTGCCTCCACTTGAGACATGCCCGTGTCATGTCACTGCGATCTTCTGCGTGTGCCTGTGACGGGCTGCATCATGATCATCCGCGGCGGCGTGGGCGGTCATTTCGCTGTTCAAGACGCGCTGGAGACCCCTCAATCCAACCGCCTCCTCATACTCCTCCATCAGCTCTTCCACGATCCCTCCTTGTAAATCTGCCTGCCCCTACCTTGCATCTTCATGTTTTTTGTTGTTGTCCAGCATGTGTTCCGTGGTTGTGTTTCGCTGTTGTGCCTGCAAGCAAGCGTCTCGTTTTGTGCAGTGCAGTGCTATTCGTTCTTAGGCGCCAGTGTATTGTGGCTGTAATTGCTGGTCGTTGTTGTCGCCCTTTGTTGTTGTGTGTTTCAAGTGCGTCAGACTGGCTGGCTGCCGTTTTGCTTTTGTCTTCTTCTCCCCCCCCCCCTCTGCTCGCGTGCCCTTGAGCTGCCTGTCTGCCTGTGCACGCGTGATGCCTGTGTTGTTTGTTGCTGTTGTTTTGTTCGCCGCTGCCGGCGAGACGCGTTATCTTGACACGAAACAATGCACACCGCCATTGGGTCGCTGTCAGCGGCTTTGCGTATGCGTGGGTGTGCGTGTGGGTGTTGGATTTGTTTGCAATAGGTGTTGTATCGGTTGTGTATTGGAGAGAATGGTGGTGGGGAGACAAGTGAACAAGCACAGAGTGAGGGAACAAACACGCTTCGTAAGGGTTGCTTGGACCAACAACAGGAACAGGTGACATGGATATGGGACGACAATGCAATCACACGCTGGCAGCGGAAAGTGCTGCTGCTGTGACGTGTCTTGTGCGTCCACGTGTGTGTGCTTAGTCCTTGAGCTCGCCAGAGTCGCGGATGGTGATCTGCAACGAATATGAAGCGAGGGAAGGGAGGGGGAGTGAGTTGTGGTGGTCACTTGGAATGCATTCGCGGCACAGTAACCACGTCTGACCAAACACAAACACACACAAAGACGATACGTCACACAAACACACACACGTCACACACCACATGACATCACCTTAGCGCTTGTCTTGCCGGAGCGGCTGCCCTTGGCCTCGACCTTGCGCACAATGTCCATCGACTCGTCCGTCACGCGGCCAAACACAACGTGGCGGCCTTGGCAAGCATGAGGGTGGGGTGGGGTGATGGGATGGGGTGGGGTGGGATGAGGTGTGGAGCGAGGGTGAGGTTGTGCACTGGTATGCAATGCAAGAACAACACACACACACACACACGCACACACACACATACACACACACACAACACAAACACACACAACACACACACACAACACACACACACACACACACACACACACACACACACACACACACACACACACACACACACACACACACACACAC